AGAGACAGAGAGAGAGAGAGACAGAGACAGACAGAGACAGACAGAGAGAGAGAGAGAGAGAGAAAGAGACAGAGACAGACAGACAGGATAAGGGCTCCTGACAGGAGCTCTGACTTCCTGTTGTCTTCAGGTCTGATTCATTTAGAGAAACAGAAACACGGTTTCTTCCTCTGAACCACAGCTTCCTGTTTATTTACAGAGACGAGGTCTCACTCTGCTGTGACTGTCACTGTATTTCTCTACACGTAAAGTTTCTTTGAACTGACTCAGTTTATCGTCTGTAATATATTTAGTCTGTTGGTTTTTTTTCTCTTAAAACCACAGATTAAATTTAGTCGGTGTGAGAAACGTTCACTATGTGATTGTGACTGAAGGATTGAACACGAGACAAATCAGATCTCTTTTATAGAGTCAGTCATGATGACAGAGAGCAGGAGCGCTTTGTTGTGGTTTCGATGATGATTCAACACTAATTACACGTTGACATTGAAGGAAAAGGATTCTTTGGTTTTGGTCTCAGTATCAGGCTGTTGGTGCTCTGCTTCAACCTTAAAGAGGAGGAAACTCAGCTTTTATTTTGAAGGGGATGTTTTTATATCTGTTCGAGATAAAGAAAACTTTCCCTGCAGATCAACATCACAAGTTCACAGCTTCACTGAACTCGTAGATCAAAAGACGAGAGCATTTACAGAAACAAACAGTTTGAAGCTGCAGACAAAGAGACGACTTCATGTTTCTGTACTGAGCGTGGTAGAGACCTGTCAATCACAGTAGCCCCGCCCTAAAGCATCCCCTGCTTTATGGTCTGTTTGACTCTAAATGGATCATAATGTACTAAATGAACATCATGCTGTATTGAAGAAGACTTGAAACTAGAGATTGAGACCATAAACTCATGTTTACAATGTTTACTGAGGTAATAAATCAAGAGAGAAGTAGAGTCATTTTCTCATAGACTTCTATACAACCAGAGGAGTCGCCCCCTGGTGGACACTAGAGAGAATGCAGCTTTAACACATGAAGTAATGATTATGTAAACTCATATCTCATATACTTCATTACTTTTATACAATCACTAAAAAGAAAGAAACCAAGTATTAAATGTATTATAAAGAAGCAAAGGTTGAGTATCCTGTAAATATTTACTTTAATGTAGATTTTTAACACCTTCTTCGCTAGATAAAAGAAAGGCCAGAGGGTCACCAAGGTCATTATGGTTCACCCTCTGAGGAGCATGAATATTCATTTAAAATGGGATGATTTTCAAAATAAGGGTTTGAAATACCGTAAAGTTTGGATCTTGTCATTTCTTGTGAATTCTTGCAGAACGTGTGAACTTATATCAAGATACTAAAACACCATCAACCTCTCAGCGACGGCCCTTTGCCTCCTAACAGCCTGTAAACTGAATCAGTTCATGACCTCATGACCTCATGATCACATGATCTCAATGTTCAGCTCTGACAGTCACGACGAGTCGACCTCAGAGCCCCACCCCCTCCCGGGGGGTTTGGGTCTCCGTCCAGGACGCCCAGGTGGCTGATGGGATTTCACAGCCCAGTGTTAGTCCACACAGTCCCTCACAGCGCCCCCCCGTCAACACAAACACACTATTGTTTGTTGGGCTGAGCCGGCGTGAGCTCGATTCAAACTGATTCCCCTCTCACTCTACAACCGAGGAGACGAGCAGGAGGAGAAGCTCTTCCTCGTCTGAAGCAGAAGGAGCAGAAATAAAACGAGCAGATTAAAGACGTGAACAAAGTCCAGAGAACTCTGCTGGAGGTTTGAGCTCTTTATGCTCAAATGAAGAGATGATGAAACAACAAGCTCATCTATAGATGAGAATAACAAAGTATTTAAAAAATGCATATATATATATATATATATATATACATATATATATATATATATATATATATATATACATATACATA